GCTGGACGTGCTGCCGACAGTAGTCCCGAGAGAGAAACCCGGACAAACCGCACTGGGAAAGGCGCTGCCTGATTTGCATCAGAAGGCCTTTGCTACTTGGTCACCGCGAAGCCCTTTGGGTTGACCCAATGGCGAGAGCCCTGTGTCGTGCCACCCCACCCCAACTCCGCAGCCGAGTCGGGACCAAAGTCCTCCACTCCGGCACCGTCACCCCTTCGACGCGATCGACCGATGGGACGCGACGGAACATGAGTACCTGTCATGTTTATACGGAACTCTGACCATCTTGATGCGTACTTTTGTTTGGGCGACGGAGATGTCTGCCCTGGATTAGGCCCCGCTCCGTCTTCATAATTCTGTCTGGGACTCTGTTGAAGGGGCGCTGCGCCTCGGCGCTGTTCTCCGCCTCCGACGTGGGGAAATTGACACGCCGCCGGTTTCAATTTGCACTTCCGAGTGGCCCGACAATGTTGCATGCTAAGAGCGGCCATAATGGCCAGCGGGAATTGGTGGCAGAACATCAGTCGATTTAATTGAGTCCACACGTGTGTGTGTGTGTTTGTGTGTGTGCGTGTGAGTGTGTGAGTTGCGGGTGTGGCTGTAACGAGAGAGTCGCATCGCGTGTGGCTGAAATGAGCCCGTGTTGTACGCATAGGAGGGCGCTTTATAGTGCTGAGAAAGCCACGAGGTCCTCGCGTGAAATTCCTTGCGCGTCACCGCGGGCTGGCACGCATATAACAAATTAATTGAGCTCGACCTGTCTGGACTCGACCGGCCGGTCGGCCCTTGGGCCCTTCGGCCCCGTGAGTCATTTTTCCAGTCTCCTTTCGGAGCCCCCTGCAGGGCCCTGTGTGTGACGTCGCAGAGTTGAAAGGGCTGCGGAGTGTCTTCACACAGTCACACATGAATACAAAACTTATTGAAAAAGTGGAAAAAAAATAAAATCGAGAATTTGTGAGAGCTAAACTGTATCACGGGGTTAGGAGACACGCAGTTTGAACGGTATTTTCGGTCAGCGTAGAAGGCCTTTTACATGGAAAAGATCATAAGTGCAGTATAACCATGAAATCATCCAGATACAACTTGAGAACCCTTTTTGGCACCAAACTGAACAATTCCTGTCGTGGTTGCGCCTTCTTGGTGAGGGTTCGGATGTCGCTGTGTGCGTGTGCGGTGCCATGGTCCGCTGCCATGGTCCGCTGCCATGGGCCGGTGCCATGGGTCGGTGCCATGCGGCGGGGCTGTGCCCAGGCTGTGCCCTCGCATGAGCGCGTGTCGTTTGTTCCGGGCCGTCACCTACGCACGCCAGCGCGCCCAGCCCGCGCACGCGCGCACGCGGCTTAAACAAAGTCATGAACTGGCGGCGGCAGTAATCTAACTCAACAGGTGTAATCCTCGCAACAGCGCGCTGCAACACACGGCCACAAACTGGCCGCTAAATAATTATGCCGCTTCGGGAGATTGTTTAGTGGGCGGTGGTCGGGCGGTGGGGCATTTTTCCGCGGGAAAACTTCCGGGCCGCCATGCCAGCCTTTGGACACGGGCTGTGATTGGTCCCCGCGAACCCTTGCCAAACTGCGGTGCGGTGCGTGTCCGGCCGGCACGAAGGGGCACGAACGGCCGGCGATAATTCCGTCGGCGTAATAAACATGTTAATACCCGTGTGTGTCCCCGCCACCACGCCGTATCGACCGAGCTCACGTCGGCCAGCGTCGGCCGGACTTATATTCGCACGAGCACTGGTTATTCGCAGGCCCGTGTGCGCCAATGCCTGTACACGCAGGACGTATGGGAAGACCAAACTCAGCACTGCTGGTGTGTTCCACCAGTTTAAGTCAAATACTACCTTAAAAACAACGCATTGAAAATATTTTTTTCGCAAGTTCGCGAGCCATGCCTGCTGGCTGGCCAGGGCGATGGGCAACTCCTCTTTTTCGGCGGCGGCCGCCTGTCCCCTTTCTTGACGCGCCCCGTTCGATTTGTGGACCGCATCATGACCCGATCCATCACACTTTGGCCGGTCCGGCCGCCCCGTCGGGCCGCCCCGGCGAAACGGACCGGACCGCTCCGCTCCAGAGCCACTCGGACGGGGGAAGAGAGCGCTTGTTGCTCTGACTGTGCTGAAAGGAATGCCCTGCTTCTCCCCCTTCCCACGCGCAAATGCAGGACGGCTCAATCCAACACGTGCCCGTGCCTTTTGGCGAGTTACGCCCTTGGCTTGTTGCAGGCGACGCCCCTGCATTGAGCTGCATGTGCAGGCCGGGCCTGGCGATAACATCGGGATCTGCAATGCAAAGCAGCGAAGCAGCGAGCGAGCAGAGGGCCAAAGTGAGCCGTCGGCAGCAATGCAAACAAAACGATTGTTTTTCTGGCTCCGCAGTGCTCCGCAGCCCCAGCTGCACCGCGGCAGGACAAGCCGAGGGAGGCTGTGCGACTTGCTCCAGCCCAGCCAGTGCGCCAGCCAGGCTGGCCAGCCCTTCCCTTCCTGACCTGGACACGGACACAAACGTGTTGACACAATGAAATGGAGGTGGCCGGCGCGGCTGGCGAGGCCGAGCTGGCCGTGTTGGTGTGTTGCCTCACAATTAGGCGGCGCCCGACTGCCCCGTGTGCCCCGTGTGCCCCGGCCCCTGCCCGGCCCGCCTAGCACCCCTCGGTAAATCAGCGACCGATTGGATTTCTTTCCGACCATCCGACCGGACCGGCGGCAGGCCTGCGGGCTTTATCTCTCCATGTTGTGAGTGTGTGTGCGCGCGCGTGTGTGGGTTTGTTTGTTTGTGTGCGTGAACGGGAGAGCGATTTCGCTTGCTTCGCAGAGCAGCCGTGGCCTCGATCGAAACCGTTTTGGATGATTGTGGATACAGACTGGCGCTACTAATAGGTTCATCTTTATTTCGTCATCCCACAGCTCCACATTTTATCCCCGCTGCGCGGCTGCGCGCGTCAGCTCAGCCCCAACAATCGTAAAAAGAAGAAGATCGGGGGACGGGAGAAAATAAAAGGTTTGTTTTCAGAGGAATAGGTCTCCGGATTCCAGCTCTGTCGGGAGAGGTGTTCGTGAAAGTCATTGTTTTTGATGACTTTCGTGTTTGTGATAAGGCGAACCCGTCGTCGCGTCTGGCCGTCCCTTTGCAGCAGGTCAGCGAGAAAAATAAAACCCACGCTTTTAACACTGCCCGCTTATAAATGGTTTGTTCTTTATAAATTGCTCGTTGAACAAAGCAGAGGTGCCTGTGTGTTTGGTCGCTTAAAATTAATTTGTGCTGTGCTTTCACATACCCAGCATGGTGATTTGTGTCCCTGCCCACGCAGGCCCTGCTCGCCCTGCTCGCCCTGCACAGGTCCTCCATTATGCACGCTCACAAACACACTCCCGGGGGCCGTACGTCAACGGGGCGGGGAAACGTTTTCCCATACCGCACCGGGCCGCGCCGCGCCGCGCCGGGCTGATAAGGTACTCCGAGTGCCTCGCGAAGTCCTTCGGGACAGGTCGACGGCCGCCTTGTTGCCGCTGATGTTGTTGTTGTTGGGCACGCAGAGTTTCCCTCGCGTCCCGGTGCGGTCCCGATGCTGTTCAATCTGTCCGCGGTCACCCTGAGCTGCCGCGTCTCTCCCTCTCGCGCCCCCACGGGGCATCCCACGAGGGCGAGAGAGACAGAGCGACGAGAGCGCTGGTAGGAAGCAGCCTGCAGGTCTGCCTGTGGTCGCAACCCTCTCAATCCAGTCGCTGCTGCATTCGAATCGCCGCGCGGGGAATCATGCATGCCACTGCACCATTTCATGACCATTTCGGCGGCCTCGGCAGCGCAGCGTGCGCTCGCCTTCTTTCCCATCTCCTTTCCCCGTCCCTCATAATTAAGGGCGATTATTTAGCTCGTGGCGTGCACGCGCGCGCCCCGCCTGCCCCGCCCACACGGTGACGCATCAGAAACGCCACGACACCGTAAAACAATATCCCGCGGAACAATGGCGAGTGTGAGTCTTTGCCGTGCCGCGTTGGTCGTGCGGCAATGAGGGGACCAGACCAAACGGGACGAAAGCGGAGAGAGAGAGAGAGAGAGAGAGAGAGAGAGAGAGGGGGACGGGAGGGGGGCGGATGCTGCTTCTGTTTTCGTTCCTCGGTCCCTTCGCCTGCTTCGCCTCGTAGATCTGTCATGCCTCTCCCGCGGCAGTCAAAACTCTCCTTGACTCGTGATCCAATTCGATAGTATCGCGCGGTCGGACAGCGGGAAGACCTCGGGCTGCCCTCGGCTGTCCCGTGGTTGGACTTGATGGTGTAGACGGGAAGGTTGGATGCGACGCGGCACCTGAGCGCGCCCGCCGAGTGCGGCATAGGCAACCCGACCGGCCTGCAGCCTCGACACCCTGTAGCAGTGCAGCGGCCAGCAGGCGGAGCGGCGCAGCAGGCAAAGACCCGCACCCTCGCCGCTAATCCCTCATCAGCGTGGCCGGAAGGCCGAGCAGCCGGGGGTTGGGTGGCGGCCACCGCGGCCACCGCGGCCTCGGCCACAGCGGCGGCCTCTGCTGGGGGCCTCGCTCGCCTTGCTCGCCTTGCTGGGCGGGCCCTGGGGTCGCTGGGCGGGTCGCTGGGCGGGTCGCTGGGCGGGCCGGGAGGCGCGTGCTTGGTGCTGGCTTGGTGCAGCCAGGCAGCCAGGCAGCGCCATGCCAGCAACGTGATGCCCGCCGCACCGCGCCGCCGCCGTACCGCGCCTACCGCGCCCACCGCGCCTACCGCGACGCGCCGCCGCGCCGCGCTACGCTGGGGGCAGCCACCTCTCGCCTCTGCTCACGCCCCTCCCTGCCCCTCCCCTCCTGTCCCCTCCCCCCGAGACGCCTCCCCCTTCTTTGTCTCGCCTCGCCTCTCGCACCTCCGCCCGCCCCCTCCCCCTCGAGAGGGCGGCGGTGGGGGCAGCCCGGCGGCGGAGGGGAGGGGAGGCGTTCTGGGCATGCGGCGGCGGCGGCCTGCAGGCGAGGCGAAGGCATGGAGTGTAGTGGCTTGCCCTGGTGGCGTGGTGTGTTGTGTGCCGCAGCCGTCTTGCCGCCTCGCGTTTGCCGCGCCGTCGCCGTCCTCTCGGTTCTGTGCTTCCCTCGACGCGGTCCTCGTCCTGGACGCGCTCCTCGCGACGCCGCGGCAACGTCCTCAAGAAGCAGGCGACAAAGTGGATATCAGTGAAGTGATGTGCGTGCAGTGTGCAGTGATCTTGTTGTTGTGACGGAGGGTGACCCGGCCACGCCCGGGCGCCCCTCCCCCTCCCCGCTGGCGCCCCTGGACCAGGAGGGTGACACGGCCGCGGCCAGGATGCCCGAGCGGGAAGCCTTCCCGCTGCACCTGCCGCCGGCCCCATCCGCCCTCCCTCTGACGTTCCCGTCGGCGTTCGGGGCGTTCCACGCCCCCGTGGGCCCCATCCCCGTGGACCAGCGCACGCACGAAGGACGCTACATCTGGGACCCCGCGCTGGCCGCCCGCGCCGCAGGCCTACCTGGATTCCACCATCCCCATGGGTAAGCCCCCCCTGCCCCCGCCCCCGCCCAGGCCCCGCCCCCGGCTACCCCCACCACCCCGGCCCTGACCTCCGGCCGGCGGCCGCCCCTGCGCACCTTACAGTGCGTCAGGCCCAGATTGGGGCGGCTTACCGGGTGCATTGTCTCGTCGACCTCATTAGGAACAAAACGCAAAGCCGAAAGCCGAGCCGGCGTGCATCCTGGGCGTGCAGGACGCCGGCAGAGACAAGTCGTTGCCGGGCCGTCGACGCTCGGCCCGGCTCGGCCTGCCCGGCCTGCCCGGCCCCACAAGCACTCTAAGCACCACGACCACGCCAGCCACGCCACGGCGGAAACGGCCGGACATTCGATCCGGCGTGGCAGCGTGAGCGGCTCAATCCGCACTCCGCAAATTATGTGCGCGCGTCGGCCGCGGCACTGGCGGTACTGGCGGCACTGGCCGGGACGCTGACAGGCTGGAAGGGTTGGACGCAGCTGCGGCCCCCGCCGGCCCCGCCGATATCAAAACAAACGGCTCTCAATCGACTTTGATTCGGGCCTCGAATTACGCTGTCAGCCACGCGGCGGCGCGGAGCCCTTCGGCGGAGTTCGCCCTTTGATGTCCCGTCGGGAATCATTGAGAGACGCAGCAAAGTAATTGAAAACCCTTTTACGAAAAGCAATATGTCACTTGGGCACAAACAACAACGGCGGCGTCGGCTACCCCGTCCGGGCCGCGTGCAGAACGCTGTGCTCCAGGACGCCGTGCTGCAGGACGCCGTGGTCCATAGGACGCCGCTCCACGACCTCTTCCAGGTCGCCGCGTGCTCCAGGAGGACGCCGTGCTCCAGGACACCCTCGTCGGCTGTCGCCTCATTAGCGACATTAGAGACGTGTCGACGGCTCGGCGCCGGCCGATGTGTGGTTCCGGGGCAGTTCGCCACGCCCAACATGTGCGTCGTCTCCCCTTGCGTGCCGGGAGCGCCGCCAGCACCGCCGGCAGACGGTGGGGCGGCCGGTTTCGGCTGTCGTTTGGCGGCAACCAGGAGGAGGATGAGGATGCTGCGGCGGTGGCGGCGGTGGCAGTGTGTTTGGGCTGGGAACGGCCTCGGCTGGGCCTGGGCCTCGCCAATCGCACGCGAATCACGTTCTCTCGCTCGGTTTCTACATTTCCAGCTTCTTCATGTCTTGCTCGCTGCCCTCGTCTCGTGACCCGCCCCTTTGGTTTCCTCTTATTTTAGCAGCATGCACACACTCACACACACTCACACACTCTCGGGCCCTGACGTGCCGCACTGTTCTCCGAGCGGTAATTACACTTTCGTGCTCTTTGGCTCCCTCCATATTTCACCCATCCGTGGCGTGTTTGGCGTTTTGCTGTATCATTGCCCCGCGTGAAATCGGCAAAACGGCGGAGTGCTGCAGAACATCTCGACGGCCCCGCCGGACCGCGCCAGTCGCCCCTTGGCCGTTTCAGCACACGGCTCGCGCGTACAGCGCGTACACTGTAACGGGCCAAACCACAAAGCACTCAATTTCCCCTGCCCTGCTTCGCCCTGCTTCTCTCCGTCCCGGTGTTTTAGAGGACGCGTGCGCGCGCTCGCAGCGCCCCCCAGGGTCGTGCGGCCGCGCTCGGAAACTCCGGCGGCGTCCGTCTCCGTCGCGGCCGCCCTCCGCGCCGTGGGTGCGACGAGGACGGCCAGCCGCGGCCGGCGTGGACCTGGCCGGGCCCCGGTGGAACGGAGGAACGGTGGAACGCACGCATACATTATGGGAGCATCGTGCATCCCTGCAGGCCCTGCGGGGCGGGTGCATGCCCTGCCCTTTGGGCCCCCCGGCCCCCCCGGCCCCGTCCCTCCGCGCCGGGCCCCGCACACACACACAAACACTCACCCACACACACAGGCAGGTATTTATGACTAGCGCTGGATTTATAGCGTGAGGAACAATACCTAGGTAAGCCCCTGGGCTGCTAACATGTCTGCTGCTTTCCACTTGCAGTGCCTCGCAGTGCCTCGCCTTGCAGGGCCGCCATGCTGCGTCCTGCGCGTCCAGCGGCATCGGGCTTTCCGTTTCGGCCGGCTGGCCGGGCTGGCCGGACTGGCCACTGGCCACTGGCCTGCCCATTAGATCTCTTAGACGCCGTCCTTGCTCTAATTGTTCGGCCGAGCGCCGCGCCAGCGCCACGCCAGCGCCACCGTCTGCGGGCCGTGGGCGTGCTGGTCGAGTTGGTGGCCGTGTGTTGCTGCCGGGTGCGAACGTGCCCGCGGCCGCGGCCCGCCTCTTACACTCTCACCCCGCCCTTGTTACGCCTAATGCCTGCCAGGCTCGCGGCCGCACGGCCCGGCGCGCCCGGGGGTGGCAACCCTACGGTTCCCACTATAGGGTTCCCACCACCCCGCCCGGATCACCGCCTGCTGTTCGCACTGGTGTTGCCGACAACACACTGTGAGTCCCCGCGCTCCGCTCTGCATTTTTTTGGAGACCCCCAGAACGTCTTCCGCTGCGTCACCCACCACGCCTCACCGCGCCGCCGCATGGGGGTGCCTTATGGCCCAAATCCCCGGCCGCGCCGCACCAGACCCCGACGCGTGGCTGCCTTGGCTGCGCCGCTGAGGAACGATGCGCCTCCGGCGGACGGTCACTCCTCGCAGTCTCGGCCGGCCTGCCCCGTGGACCCGCGGCCAATCACCGACCGCTGCCTCTGGCCCATCATCGCGGAGCCGAATTTGAAACGTCCCGGCCGCGCGTGCGGTTGCGCCACGCGGGGGCGAGGCGGGCGAAGCGAGGGGTGCGTGTTCATTAGTGCGGGGCTGGCTGATGCAGCACCCCGCCGCGCCCCGCCGCGCCCCGCCGCGCCCCGCCGGGTCACTGACTAAGGGTTACAGGGCCAGAGACTTACCGGCGCGCCGCGCCCCGCCACGCTCCACCACGCCGACAGCTCAACTTAGCTCGCTTGATCGGATTTCTGTCGAGGTTGCGGTCGCTAAGTCGTCGCGGCGTGCATTTATAACGTGTCAAGGAATGCGCTTTAATCTTTTTCCAGTGCGGCGGCAGTTTGGCACACGCCAGGGTACAGCGCGGCGTCTGCCTGAGCGGCAAGCGGACCGCCTGCCCACCGGCCGCGGGGGCCTAACTGATTTGCTCGGCTCTTGGCTGGGAGTGTACCTAAGTGCACACAACGTCTCTATATCAGCTCATAAGCCATGTATGCCTCGGGATAGTGTGCACTGCCCCCCCTCCCCCCACTGGAAACCGCACCGCAGTGCCCCCCACCCCTCCCTACGGTTATTCCTCGCAAACACGTATCGCTATGTCGACCTAAGCGCACCCATAAACTGAGATGAAGTCGTCAGGAGCGGTTTGGCCGGCCGCCTGGCTGGGGGCATGCTGGCCGTGCTGGCCGTGCTGGCCGCGCTGGCAGTGGAGTGGAGGGGGTGAAATAAAGACGACGACCCACGTGGTCTCCGTCTCTCTCAACATTCTTCTTGGCCGTTTTGTTTTCGCCTTGCTTGCTCACTCTTTCTCCATGCCTGCCTTCCCTCCTCCGCCCTGGAATTCGTGTTGTTCTGTCGTGCGGATTCGTTTGCTCGTTTTGCGCCGTTCGGCCGCCTCGCCGTTGTTCCTGTGACGCCGAGAGGCGGGAGAGAGGGAGAGGAGAGAGAGAGAGAGAGAGAGAGAGAGAGAGAGAGAGAGAGAGAGAGAGGGAGAGGGGCGCAAGGTGAGTGCGCTGAGCAACGCTGCAGACAGATAGGACGGCTAGCGATATCGACTTAATCAGCGAGGCTGTCTCATTCCAACCCAAATGACTACCGTGTGTGTCTCTCTGTTTTCGTCGTTCACTCCGTTTCAGGGATCGAGAGTGTTCTTTTCACCAACTTCAGCCCGCCGCTGATTTTCCGCGACCTCACCAAATGAAAATGTCGTTGGACGCGCGCGGTGTAGTTCTCCGCGTTCGAAGCCGCGCGCCGCGCTTTTAACAGTCATTTTATTCCCTGTCCCTGTCTTATTGTGTGCCTCCCTCCCCTCCCCGTTCGTACAAGGGCCTTCCCTCAGTGCATAATGCAGAGATATCAGTACAAGCGTTTTAAGTCAGTAAATAAATGCAGACTGCACAAAAAGAGGAGTGGCTGCAGCAGCGCTGCGGCATGAGGACGGCGCGGTGGCGCGGCGGGGCGGTCCAGATAGTGCCATTGGCACGCTCGCCTCTCTGCCTCCCTGATTCGCCGCTCCGTCTCGCTCGCACTCGGTGGGCGTGGCGCGGTGTCGCGAGAGAGACGGAGCCACACTGTTCGGAATCCACCTCCTATGCGCCGCTCCGCGCTGCTTCGGCGGAAATTCGCCGCACGAATCGAGCCGCCGAGCAAAACAAGGCAAAAGTGAAGAAAAAGTGTCTCTCCTTGGCGGGACGCTGCGAGACGCTGCGCGAGACGCGGCGCGGAGGCCGGCCAGCCTCGCTGATGGAGACGTCTTCTGTGTGCTCGCCTCGCCCGGCTTTTAATTCACGACCTGGGAAATGGGCTGGCCAGTGGCCATGCCAGTGGCCATCCCAGTGGCCGATTCCGAGCACAGGTTGTCACTCTGCCTCTCTCGCTCGCAGGGAAGTCCCTGGCGAGAGAGCGACGAAAGCATTTCTAAAGTCAGTGCATGCCGGCGAAAGTCACTGAAAGACACTGCAAGTCGCTGAAAGTCGTGGCTTCAGTCGCTCCCCGTAGTTCCTGGGCCGGCCGCCCGGGGCGCTAGTAGCGCGCTAGCGTCGCCCGTTTCCGCCTCTATGCCGTGACGCCGCTTAGCAATTCAGCCGAGGTGATAATCAAAATGACCAACGTTTACAACGGAAACAGAAAAGTTTATTTTGGCCTCTTTTTGTCTTTTTATTGTGATACGCGCCACATAAATGTCACGCCGTAATTACCGCCGACTGTAACATTACACATTTCCGCAGGTGATAGAGGCGAAAATTATGCAGACGGCCGCCGGCTTTAATTTTATGAGTGTTGTGCGGTGCGTGCGCGCCGCGC